TTCATTTTTTCTAATTTGCAAAAAAAATTCTGGTTCTGAATCATCTAAAAAATGCTCATATTTTGCTCCCAACAGTTGAGGAAAATCCTTTTCTTCCTAGCTGTTACAGTTTTTCAATCTTTTAATGCAGTGGTTTGGTTAAAAGTTCAAAATTCTTTGTTTAAATTTTATCCCAGCTTTTTGTGTTGACTTCATGGCTCCAATCGAAGCATTCGGGGCTATAATAGGATGCCTAGGCCTGTTTTTATTTTTATTTTTTTTCGCCCTGTCGCTTCATATTTTTTCTGAAAAAATCTGAGAACCAACAAATTAAATTGGTGTGGCCTAAGTATAAGAAAACACTATGGGAAGCTGTATAAAGCCTACTTAGTAATTAATAATAGCATTAAAAAAATGATTGTATGTTTATGCCTATGTTAGTACCAAATTGAGAGAAGAAGGTGAGATTGGCCCAAAAAATGCAATAGAGTCAATCACAATTGCTATTTCTGTTGTTTAATGGGAAAAATCATTTGGCAGACAGACTCTCAAAGAAACATACTGTTTTCCTGGATCCAACTATCACTGGTTTGCATGAAAGGTATGCATTCTATTATTATATCAGGCTTGTCTGTCTCTTGCTTTTGCTTCCTGCATTTTTATAACTTAATGATATCATAAGACTCATACTGTTTTGCATAGTGTTTTTTTTTTCATTATGATTAGTATGTTTTCACATAATATAGTGCTTCATGTATTTACCATTAAAGGGAGTGAGGTCATTCAGGGCAGGGAGTGAAGCCATGTCTAATTACCTTGTAATAGTATTTTTTTTTGTTTACCCTTGGTCCTGTCCAGGCCAGAATTTAACAAGAGTGTGTGGATAGACAAGACAGCAGTGGAGAAAATGATAACAGAGTCCATGGATGATCATCAGGTGAGCTGAGATGTAGACAGTATAGAAAATGTTGGGACTGTGTAGTTATTTAAGTTTTCCCTTTCATTGAAAAATACTCTCAGGGCTGAAAATACCACCAATGCATAATTGTGCAGGTAAAGTTGCAGCTGTGCAGGTACATGTATTTCTGATGTCTACCTAGCATGTACCTAACCTGAACTGATCCATGTACTGGGTATATGCAGGTTAGTGCAGGTAAAATTGGAGCTGTGCAGGTATTTCTGATGTCTACCTGCACCTAACCTGCACTGGTCCATGTACTGGGTATATGCAGGTTAGTGCAGGTAAAATTGGAGCTGTGCAGGTATTTCTGATGTCTACCTGCAGCTAACCTGCACTGGTCCATGTACTGGGTATATGCGGGTTAGTGCAGGTAACTTTGGATCAATGGGGCAGTCTATTCGGAGTATTCCTGTGGCTTTGTCACCATGCTTGTACAAAGTGTAAGGCATCACTAAGCCTTGTAAATGTATAAGAAGACTTTTCCTCTGTCCCCTGCATGGGTGGTTGTCTTAGACAAGTTTGACTGAACATGTATTATGTATTCATGTTTTATAGTGATGTTACATGTACTTTTAATGTTCACCATACAGTATCGTCGGTTTGTTGAAATGATGGAGCACATTGCCAGACACCCGTATGCCAAACAGTCACCCCAGTTTATCATGAGGTTCCGTAAGGAGCTCGTGGCTGTGTCCATGAAACAGCAGGTCCAGCCGGTAAGTAACAGCCAAGGCCACACCAATTTAATTTGTTGCTTCATGGATCGCCCCGTCCATTTTTTTCTGATTTGCAAAGAAAAAAAAATTTGTTCTGAATTAACTGCAAAATGCTCAATGAAAGACATATTTTGGCCCCAATGGTTGAAAAAAGTCCTTTTCTTCCTACTTCTTAGGTTTTCCAGTGTAACAATGAAACATTTTTTCATTAAAAGTTCAAAATCTATTGTTTTAATTATAAACCAGCCTGGTATGTTGGCTTTATGGCTCATAATGTAACATTTCTGGCTATCATGGGGTGCCTTGGCCTGTTTTTTTTTATTTTTATTTCGCCCTGTCGCTCCGGATTTTCTCTGAAAAAATCCGAGAAACGACAAATTAAATTGGTGTGGCCCAAGGATTTAAAAAATGCCAGCAAAACAACTCTTGTACCACATTGGCAGTCAACATACTTTGCCTAGTACATGAAATTTGTAATGTATTGTGCATAGCACTTTGGCAGAGCAGCTTGCAATTGTTTGATATTGTATTTGTGTATTTCAAATGTTATGTCAGAAAAGATACCATCTGCTACAATAAGAACTGAAAAATCTGGGTTTCGTGCAGGCACAGTGCATTGTACTTACTCAATGTGTAAATTGCAGAGATGACTTCTGGACATATTTGAGTAACATCTGTCACTTCTACAGCACCACTAATACTTAGGTCACATTTCCAAACCGGGGCCCGGCCGGCCGGGCAGTCATTCAGTGGAACGAAAAATATGGTATAAAACGCAACAAAGCACAGAAAGGTTGAAAAATATCAAAAATGGAACTACATTGTATTTACGTATATTCTTTATGAAAATTCTTGATATTTCGTTAATCAAAACAGCCCGGCCGGGCCCCGGCTTGGAAATGTGACCCCAGCCTAAAATGAACAGAATATGAGAATATGAGAAACTGTGAAAAAGACAGTTGAACATGACAAAGACTCCTTGAAGAAAGTTAACATATCATTGACACATACGGGTCTTTGTCATAGTTAACCAATTTTTCCAATTTCTCATAAATGTATATATTATTAAGTGTTGACTTGCTAGTTCTGTAAGCTCCTTAGTGATGCTGACAAAAAGTAACAAATGTCACTCAAAATGTCCAAAAGTAATCTACAAAATGTAGTATGTATTTCATCCAGTAGTACCAAAGAATTAGCTATCATCAGAGTTTGAATTGCCTATGAGTACCGTTTACCTGGATGTCTAACCTTCATCAACATAGCAGTATTTTACAATGTCCTAAATATTATACTCAATACAAATCTCCAGTAATATGTAAAAGCCATAGGTATTGTGTTACTTAATTTTCTTTCTCAAATTTCCATTTATGCACTGCATATACAAAATTAAAGTAGTGCAAAATGTTGGTGCACAGGTCAACTGGGCAACCAGGTATTTTATATGCTGCTTGTACAGATGTGTTTTAACCAGTTTGCTGACATGTTTTCATTTCCAGTTGATGTACGACGGGCATGGTGTAGCCTACATGGAGGCTGACGGTGAGAAAGTCTGCTTTTATTTTTAACAATTAATTGCTACCATGTATCATGGAGGTAGACTTTTTTCTACCTCCATGCATGTATGTATCAGGGCTGCATACCTAAACATATATACATGTAACGTCAGGTACAAGTACCAGTACAGAGATTCAGGTACAGTTGTACTGTGTTATAAGTTTGTAATGTGTTTTTAAGACTCCAGGAAGAATAGTGAGTATAAGATCCTTCAAATAAACAGGTCCGCCTCTGTAGCAGTACTTTAACATTTTGACAAACTAACACTTTTTCTGAACTTCTTCTATAACAGTAACTCAGTTGATAAAAACTTTATTTAATCTTTTTTTTTCAAGTAAAACAGAACTGGTGCATGGCCTTATGACTTATTAAACAAGACAGAGCCAATGTTAATCATTTCCTGTTGTGAATTCCTAGTGTCCTACAGTACCTTAGCCATTCCTGAATAATCTTCAAATGTGTATTAGTTGCTCCCTCTAGATTTCACTTTGGTCACCTATGTACATGTATATGTTTCACATGAGGTAGTATAATGTAAGGTATTGATATAGTGTAACTTCATATAATAAATGGTTTATTGGCCAAACATCACCCGTGCAATTGCAGCCTTATAGTTGCTGAATTGATGCAGGGTTTACAATCAGATGATACAAATGGTAATAATACTCATAATGATACACATCCTATACACATCATAATACACAGAATACATATTTGTTCTACATTTTTGTGGAACTGCCGCAAGGGTCTGTGCGGCTGCCATTCGGCGCCACAAGGTGACCTTAATACGGCTTTCCCCAACCGAAGTTAGGTACCCATTCATACCTGGGTGGAGTGAGGAAAGTCGTGTAAAGTGCCTTTCCCAAGGACACAACGTCGGGCGCATGTCCAGACATGTCCCGGGTACAACTCAGGATCGAACCCGGGTCTCCCGGTTCACAGTCGAATGATCTACCACTACGCCATCCGATATCCTGTACCTAATTGATGTTGTTGTACTGTACCAGTTATGCAGTTGAAGGGTGATTTATTTTTCAAATATGTGCACTTACTTCATGTTTTCATGTATTTGGTCACCAAAGGAAGGAGAAAAAGTGCCCGTGCGAGGGTGACCTTGAGAGACAGGGGTACAGGAGAGGTCACCGTGAACGGACTGCCACTGATCAGCTACCTGAGGAACGTACAGGACAGGTCAGAGTTCACATTCACATGTCACACTCAGGTCAAAATGCCAGTCACTGTTGTAGAGTTTGAGCTAAATTCCAACACAAGAAGGGAACTCACCATAATTTTCGGCTGATCTCATCAACCTTCGTCATATGTGTGACCCATTCGCTGACTGTCTGGAGGTCAGAAGCATGATGTCATCTCTCTTCCCCATTTTGATTCACTCCTGACGTCATCACGCTTCCGACTTCCGGAGAGTCAGCGAGTGGATCACACATCTGATAAGGGTTGACGAGAATCAACCCAAAATTTATGGTGAGTTCCCTTTCTTGTGTTAAAATTTAAGCTCAAACTCTATATGGTTCTGGAATTGGAGACTGAGATGTTTTGTTTAAACTTTTCAAAGGGGATAAGTCAACTGATTCATCAAAAGAGTCGAGGAACCGTAATGATTTTATGGCTGCAGCTTGATGGCAGTTATGTAATGCAAATAATGAATTCTTTTAATCTCCTGCATTCCAAGATTTAACTATAATTTTTTTAAACATATGACATATAATATATGTATACATGTAATATCTAACATCGACAGGTGTAAATTATGCAAAGCACTTTTTTAAAAAGTTATCCCATGTCTTTGATACACAGAGAACAGGTGATGCTGCCTCTGGAGTTTGTGGACAGACTGGACCAGTTTGATGTAGAGGCTACAGTATGGTGGGGCGGCACTACAGGCCAGGCAGGGGCCATCAGACTGGGCATCTCCAGGGCTCTCTGTAGCTTCCTCACTGAGACAGAGATAGAGAACATGAGACTAGGTAAGGCCACACCAATTTAATTTGTTGGTTGTCAGATTTTGTCAGAAAAACTATGAAGCGATAGGGCGTAAAAAAATAATAATTTATAAAAACAGGTGTAGGCATCCTATTTTAGCCTAAAATGCTTTGATAGGAGCCATGAAGTTAACATAAAAGGCTTGATAGATAGAAAAACTGTAATAAGTAGGAAGAAAAGCTCAAGCCAAACTCAACTATGACTGTGCCCTTATAGTCTTTAGGTCTTTGTTACATGTGACTACTTTTGCACTTGCATAAAATTATATAATCTGTGTTGCAGGGTAATATCCAATAAACATGTAGTAACAGGTCTATTGCAAATTCATGCATCGCGTTTTATGTCTTACATGGGCACGATAACGTTTAATATGGGTGTTCTTGCCTGTGTGATAACAAGTGATATCACATGGGTTCTACTTGGTTATCACATGGGCCTTCAATTGGAACACCTTTCGCATGTGCTGAGTGTGTGACGCTTTTAAAAATTTAAATATAATATGCTACCTGCACAGCTCCAATGCACTCAGTATTTGAACCGTGATCACATTTGCCACACCTTTTTGTTGAATGATTGTCTTTTCTTTTGCACAGCTGGGCTGTTGACTTCAGACCTGAGAAGGAAGGAGCGAAAGAAACCTGGACAGAAGAAAGCCAGGAAGAAGTTCTCTTGGAGGAAGCGTTAGATGCTCATTACTACATCAAAACTATATCCTTGACATTAAAATGATAACATCATGAATGTGTCACTTTTTCCTTTGAATTCTCTGATACAGAAGAAAAATTTTAGAGAGGTTAATTACTAAATGGAATTGTTGCCATTGTTACAATCTAATCTCTTATGTAAGTACTATTGTCAAAATTAACTAGACTTTTCTAAAATTTTTTAGATGGTATATTACCTACATTTACTACATTTTTTGCTGATGAATGTTAATAAGGACAAGTCACATTAAAACAGACACATTGCAGTCATTGTGTTGAGTTTTGTAAGTTTATTGACTTCCGAGTATTGTGAGTTTATTGCAGTACCAAAATAGCCATGTTATTGCTTCAAGTTATGGTGCATTCACATAAGGCCACACCAATTTAATTTGTTGGTTCTCGGATTCGCCTTATCGTTTTTTTCTGATTTGCAAAAAAAAAAATTGATTCTGATCCTGAATCAACTGAAAAATGCTTAATAAATATGTTTTGCCCCCCAACAGTTGAGGAAAGTCCTTTTCTTCCTAGTTGTTACTAGAGCTGTGTACCTAAACAAATTTTAGGTACAGGTACAGGTACAGGTACACAGGTTTAGGTACAGGTCCGGACCTGAACCTGTACCTGAACAATTCGACCAATTTATATGCTCTTCTGAACTCCTTCAATAACAAAAAAACATAAATAAACTTGATAGTTAAGGTTTATTCTTTGTTTATGGCGAATGCTCAGATAAAATATAGGCAAAACTAAGATGTTTTTGTTTTCATGAACACACTGTCCTTACACAGGCACCCATTGTTAACCAGCTATTTAAACATTTGAGGTCACAAATAGGCATAAAATTGGTGTGAAATTGTTTAGGTACAGTACCGGTACTGAGGGATTAGGTATTTTGGACCTGTACCTAATCAATTTTTCCGGTACAGTATCGGTACTGCGTACCGGTACACAGCTCTAGTTGTTACAGTTTTCCCATCTATCATTGCAGTGGTTTGATTAAAAGTTCAAAATTCAATGTTTAAATTTTAACCCAGCCTTTTGTGTTGACTTCATGGCTCATTTTATAGCATTTAAGCCTATAATAGGATGCCTAGACCTGTTTTTATTTTTATTTTTTTTCGCCCTGTCGCTTCATATTTTTTCTGAAAAAATCCGCGAACCAACAAATTAAATTGGTGTGGCCTAAGTGTAAGACTTAAGTAAAATTTGTAGCAGTTTGTGGTATCCATAATTATCAAGGCACTGCTGAAGCACTTAAAACATTTGGTCCAGACAAAAACCTGTCATCGAGAAGCATCTTTGGCTGCAAAAGGTTCTGATGTGCACAACACCGTTTGATGCCACAAACTACATATAATATTGCAAGATCTCCAAACCTCTAAGACATTGCACTTATTCACAGTATGACTTCTCACCAACTTCTACTGTGTTCATTTCAACATCAACATTGCACAAGTCTTGTTAGTGTAATTGCAGATTTTTTTACGGTTCTTTTATGCTCCCGGTTTTTACAATCACTTCTGTACCGTGTACTTATCATTAACAAATCACTAACAAATCATTTCTCTTTGGCCCACTACTGTTAGCACTTCTATTTTTCTTAGACTGTGACATTTTGCTACCATGAATATGATGTGAATTATAGTATCTTGAATGTAGGTACACAACATGATTTTTTTTTTCATCCCAATCTATGGTTAGTATACAAACTATGTAACTATTAACTGACTATATCAGTGGAAGCAATTAAGTTGTTTGCCAAACATTTAGCATTACACTGTATTATAATCATGTTGCTCTTGCATGTAAGTACTTGTAGTAGTTATTAAAGGCAAACTCAAACGTTCCACACCCTATATAGAATGGTACATTTCAGGGCTGTTCTGTAACAAGCATTTAGTTCACCCAACTAATGTTGGTAGAACAGGGCTCAAAACTCTTTTCCATTCGCGAAATAAATGGTCAAATTCTGGGGTTGTGGACCAGATATAATGTAGAGATATAGCTTTAAGACACGTTGTTCACTGAAAGGAAGTCACTAGAGCAAAACCTCCAGCAAAATGTAGTTGATCCTTCATAAAACGTCAGTCCGTTATCCAGTTGCTTGAGTAACTGTTTTCTTGTGTATCTTATTACCTTGGTGTCAAACCTTCATCGACCTGCATGTACTTCACAAGTGGCTAGTTGTAGGCATCCAATGCAAAACAAAATCAGGGCGACAAACTGGATTTTCAACGTTTCTGATCTTTTTTTTAAGTAAATTGAATGTAGTAATTGATTCAACCCATTACTACAAAACATACTGATAGCTCTGAGCTAACATGCGATGTTGCTGACTGGAAATGGTTGCTTGTTTTGTATGTCTAAGTATGAAATGATGACGAAAATGTGGTACGAAATGAGAGTAAATGTCAATATCAGACAGATTTCCTCATCCAGAATACTTTTTGTATCGCTGCCCTGAAATTGCATTGGATGCCTTTAAAGATTGTATAGTGCTAGCACAGATCTTGAAACAACCCTGCTTTGAGCCACTCTGGTAGTAGGGAACAGTGGACCTCTTTCCCCCTCTATGTGAGGATGTTGCTCTCCTCGGGCTCTGGTTGGTTGTCCTTCCCCACAGGGATGTCGTCCACGGGAATCTCCACCTTCTCCTGCGCCTCGTCCTTCTCCCCGGCAAACACCTTCGCGAAATCCATCTCGTCAGGCATGGCGGTCTCCAGCATCGGGTCCGAGTGGTCCACCTGGAGTCCAAACAAAATACACATTGGGTTAAGGTGGCAGAACACAGTTTTCGGCCTATGGGGATTCCTATAGTTAAGCACCCCGAGGTGACTCACTTCGACGCGGTAAAAATTATATAGTAGGGTGCACAAGAGAATCACGGCCAACTAATATGTTGAAATATTACGGTATATTCTACAAAATAACTGAAAAGCAAAAAAAGTTATCGTTTTTTTAACATAAAAAAGTAATCGTTTTTTTAACATAATGACGACCACTTTGATTTGGCCCTCTACCGGGGTCAACGGAACTGCAGCCGGCTCACCCTGGAACGTTGTTGCATAATGCCGCGCATTTATACACGAACAGGAAAATCTTCACATTCCAACTCATACGGTGTACAAGCCGATATCTTTCCTTACCACACAGTGCAGTTCATTCATGGCTACCTCTCACATAAGCCCCTTTAGCCAGGATGCAAGTGGTTTGTCTGCACTACCTTCTATGCCCGCGGGGGTCGCGGATAATTACTGTGTTCTTTGCCATTGAACTGTACAGACTACCAGTAACGGATCGAGGTTACAATACCTCACTTTGGCTTTTCCCCCCAAATGATGTACAGTTTTTAGCTTCATCTTTTAGATATATATATATTCTCAGTACTTGAGCCACCACACAGCAATGGGCTACATTGTACCAGTAAGGCCATGTTGATTTGATTATATGGATGACATCCACGCGCGCGTGAATTTTCGGCCGTTTCAAAAAAAAAAAGTTTTCAACCATACTGTAAATCGTACAAAACAGTTGCAAAATGAGCAAATATATACCGTAAGTTACAAAAAGAATATTTAAAAACGATATCAATGTCGTAAAATGCCAAAATCAAACAAAAAAGACGAAAATGTAAAGAAATTAATTCGAAGAGTAGATTATTCGCCAAACCGTGCTCTGTGTCATTTTTTCAACCTTCATGACCACGTAGATTTCATAATGAAGGCAACCTTTTTTGCCCAACTTTTTTTATTTGCACGTACGCGCGCATCAGTTTTGCGGGTTCCCAGAGGATGTCATCCATATAATCAAATCAACATGGCCTAATGTTACATGATAGAACTTAATTGACACAACAAAAGTACAGCGACTTTCGTAAGGTCCAATACATGTAGATGTACAGACAAATAAACATGGGTACAACGAAATCCTACGTACAGAACAATATGGGTCAACTAATACTACTTGTTCTAAGGTTTAAACATTCTTTGATATATTTACCTATTTGTACACAGCAAGGGTTATTGCCTTCTAGGATGAACTTAGATTTATCTATAGCATGAAATGTAACAAATTCTGTTGAGCAGGCGGAGAGACGGTTGAACAGCTTTGTGCGTTTATCGTTATAAAGTGTACAATTCAAAATAAAATGTTATTCATCTTCAATATCATTGGAACAGAATGGACAAAACTGGTCGCGAGGGATTTGTTTTATATCTTCCTAATTCTATATTCAATTTATGGCTAGAAATTCTCATCTTTGTAATCGATCTACGAACTTCAAAATTATGTATTTCAGAAAGGTAATTTTCTTGTCCGTACGTACATCTTCTTTAGGCCACACTGACTTAATTTTATGGATGACATCCGCGCGCGCATTGATTTTCGCCTGATCTCCAAAAAAAAAAAGACCACGTCTTCCGAGGCTCTGGCCTGGCTTTAGGCCTGGGTAGTCCATGGTGGTTAGCGACAATGAAGCCGGTGGTAACTCTGGAGGACGGCGCCCAGGCTACCGAAGTTCCACGACTCAAGACCTCAGTACAAACGTACAGTGCCGATTCATAAATTCCGCAAAAAATCCAGCATGTGCCGGCTTGTCGTATACGTCGCTATGTAATGCGCCAAATTCACAATACTGGCTTTGTATTCCTATGGTTTAGTATTATTTTTATTTTTGGCCGGATTTTTCTTTTTTTTTTTTCGTCCGCGCGTACTAGTTTGGGTGCCTTCAGAGGATGTCATCCATAAAATTAAGGCGGTGTGGCCTTAACATCGAATAGACAGAAAGACATGTGTACCATGTAGTCGGAGTCCTGTCTGTGTACTGCGGCGTGAGAGATGACGGGTGAACCCGTGATCTCCTCCTCACACTCCGGCTCCTCCGGGACAGCAGTCTCTACATCAGCCATCTGTCAACATAGGAAACAGGACATGGGAGAAACTTCATCTGATTGGCAAATTACATCGTGAAAGTTAAACTGTTATCTACCCTGGAAGCCAGAACTCGTTTACCGGGCCGCAAGAGCCCTTCGC